TCAGCCTAAGCAAATTTAAAGACTTTTATTTCCTTTTCCTGAAGTGTTCTTTCTTCAGATATGTATTGTTATTCACATGCCTATATCATTAAAATCAGAAATACTTTGGAAAATGTATATTTTTAAATCTAACAGCTCACAAAAACCTCGTATTATTATGGGTATGTAGCTCTATGTTTCCAGCCCAAAGATTACTGTTAATAATTAACAGCAATGCAGAAAAACCACAGAAAGGATTTTGAGGCCTGCTGAGTTATAGAAAATGCCATTTGTGAAAAACATTGATATAAATCTTTTATGAATGAACTCAGAGTAAGTATTTCCATTCATTATTAGGAAAAAGTCCTGGGTAGAATTTGGCATTGTCCTTGGAAGTTATTTCAAATGCTCATATGCCCCCAAAGGACCATACGGAATTGCCACTTAGCTTTAACCCAGGGTTATATGAAAAAGACATTCTGCCTTGTTATGAAATAACTGATTTTTAAAAATGGAATATGCATAGGCGAATGTTAGAAAATATTCTATAAATTTGTGAAGTATGATTGGGGAAATATTCAACCATAATAATTGTATAAATTATTGAAGGCAAAACTCAGCTATTTAGTATTAACTGGTAATTATTTACTTTTACTGGCACAGTTTTCAGACATTGTTGGCTATCTTAAAGTAAAATTGATTTCTATTTCTATAAAAATAGCTGATGCTTGTAAAATGTTTAATAGCCTACAAGTGTTTATACACAGCACTTCATTTAACCCTTGGAACAACCTTGTGTGAAGTAGGCACTATTATCCCTGCTTTACAGGTCTTGAAAGGGAGCCTTGGTTCATAGGACTTCCCCCGAATCACATATCCTGTAAACGGTATAGTTTGAGTACAGACTTAGGTCTTCTGATCCTGAAACCAGAGCCCCTTCCACAAGATAATGCTTAAGTTGAGCAAGCCAGATGAGAACAGGTGTCAGACACAGTGGCGTCTATCTCTTAAGTGTTTGTGAAGGACTCTGTGTTCCTTGTTGACCTGAGTGATTGATTGACTAGAGCTAAGTGTCTTATGATGCTGAGCAGTCAGCATTTCAGGAGCTGATTGCAGTGGAGTCTGCTTAATAGGACTGTTAGATTTTCACTGTTTCCTGGCGAAGTGATATGAATTGTTGATGGCAGGAAATTCTAAATTATTTTAGTCGTACGTTTGTGTAAAAAGGTTCAGTGGGTACTTGGATTATGATCTTTATAGGTGTGAGGGCAAAGCAATTGCATCACATTGACATTCTTTTCAACCTGATGACAATAGGCACTTGCTGGCCTATTTTCACTAGGACAACTGTCTTTCAAAGAATAGACTTCCAAAAACATCAGGATCTATGGATTGCCGTTTACTAAAAAAAAATAAGTATTAACATTAACTGAAGAAAACTCACTATCAATCTAGAAATTAGTAGAAACTATTTTCTGTTCTCCACCCAATGAGAATTTTAAACTTTAGTTTGATCCTTGCCAGTTCTTTTCAACAATCATTTTCCTAAGAAATAATAGGCAGCAAAAGCAAGTGCCTTTTTTCCTATTAAATAGAAAGATGTAAAATATTTCATCATTTTGGAAACCAATGTAAAAGCTTAATTTAAAAAACTTTTTTGAAGGAAAATGGTGATTATATTACAGTGGATAAATTTATGAAAAAATAGTTGAATACCATCTTCTGAAAGATACTTGTGTACTTACTATAGAAGATATAAGGGAAAAAGTATAAGAAAGACCCCATTCCCTCCAGCAGCTCATTTGACAGATGATAGAGATAACACACACACACACACACACACACACTTGTGTTGAAAATTAGATGACAGTATAAGAAATTACGTGGTAGGCACCAAGTGGTAGATGAAGACAGCACATTCTGGAGATTGCCGGCGATTATCAGAATTGCTTTCCTGAGGGGGCTGTGTAGATAAGAGCAACATTCTTGGCAGAAAGGCTATGAGCAAGTGCCTCTCAATGGGAGAGAAGCAGAAACTACTCCTTGAGAGTAGAAATGAAGGAGTGGGTACAAATAAAGGTTGGGGATGGTATTATAAGGGACCTTGAAGGAGGACAGGATGGTATAAGAACTTAACATTCAGAATATTTTTTCTTTCTTTTTCTTTACTCTTCACCTGAGAATATACTTTATTGATTTTTAGGGAAAGGGAAAGAAAGAGACAGACAGACAGACAGACACATTGATGTGAGAGGGAAGCATTAATCCATTGCCTCCCATACACACCTGGACTGGGGATTGAACCTGCAACCTTTTGGTGCATGGGGTGACGCTCCAACTAACTGAGCCACCTGGCCAGAGTCAGAACATTTTTTCACATTTAAATTGCTATGTAAACAAAACATGTCTAAATTTTTTTAAGTGTGTGCTTTTGCATGTGATATATCATCTTTTCCTTTTTGGCTCATTGTCTATTAAAGTCCATTTATTCTGTTATATTTATCATCAACAAAGAATAAAATATATTTGAAAATGCCCCAAATAGCAAATTTCTGAATCTGTCACAGAGGATATTTTTTCTTCATCTTCAGTGAAATAGCTAGCAAAAACTTCACTGATATTAAGCAGTACTTTTGTTTTAAATTGGAAGTTTGGTCATTACATTAAATGTGGAAAAATATCAATTCAGTTAGTTTCTCTCAGGTCTACGTTGCAGTCTTATGCCTGTCTTTTTATGAAAATAGCAAGTTCTCCTAGGGAAGGATGGAAACCATTAGCAGAGCCTCAGAGAAATAACTTTCCCCTCTAATGCAGATGAAAATATGCAGCAAAAATATGGAGCTAAAAATCTTTTCTTCTTCTGAGTACAAAATTTCATAAGACATTTTCCTGCTTGTTCTTTCTGGAATATACAGACTTAAAATGCTTTCCCTATCCATTTATTCTGAAATGGCTTGGCTTTCCCTTTGCAGTATGTGAGGTTAGGCCGTGTCAGTGGGGCCTGTGAGAGTGGAGAATGGGAACCGCCATCTGCAGCTTGAAGGTTGAACGGGTCCCTCCTCCATCACCACCCATTTTCTGTACTGCGTCTGCACTTTGCCTTCTTCAAGTTATTCTCCCTTTCAGCCTCTCAAGCCTGACAACTGATGTCAACAGTCTTTTAACTGCTGTTTGGTACAGAAGCTGTACTGGTCTCTGTTGGCTCCCCTGGTTCCGTTTTGTGCTTGTTTTTAAAGCTTGACATTTAGTTACTTGACGGTTTCTAAAGCAGCTTTTGAAGGAGATTCCCACAGCAACCAGTTAAGGCCCTGGTCTTATTGAACTTTTCAGTAACCCTGCTATGTTAAGGGCAAAGCAGGAAAAGATAGAACTGCTCAGAACCTGAAGCAAACATGTATTAAAAAGGAGAAAAAGCCTTTAAATCTCAAAGGACTATAAACAGATAATAATGAGGATTCTGTGTAGAATGTTAACACCTGAAGAATCTTAGTGCAGGTATATGGGATTTCAGGGTACTCTCTTACCATTTTCCAGTAGGTTTGAATTTGTCTAAAAATAAAAGGTTACCAGTTTTAAAAATAATCTCAAATGACCAGCAACCTTTTCCTAAGTTACCGATGAAGAATACTTTTGCTATTCCTGTCTCTCATGTTCTGTTCCTCCTCCCCCATGTCCAGCATTAATTGCGCTTTAATAGAGACCGAGTTAAACAAGCCACTGACTGCTCCAGTGCGTTCAGTGAGGAAAGATTGTCCCACAAACCGTCCTACAGCTTTGTTCATTGCCGCTCTCCTCATCACAGTCCAGTTTGTTTCTCTCAACTTCAAAGTTTCTTTTCCTTCAAAAAGTGAAAATTGGGTTAATTGCGCCAAGCACACAATCTTCGATAGATTGAGTTATGACCCCGATTAACTGGTGGTTGCACTCTCTTACTGTGTTTAACACTCATTCTTGTACAAGTTACCAATAAAGAAGAGATATTAGCAACAAGAATTGTCACTGACCCCTGACACAGGGCCTGGCGTGTAATAAGTGTCCTGTGACTATTTCTTGACCCAATGATGAATGAATGAGTGGCTAACATTAGGTACTTACCCCCTGCCATGAGTAAGGCCTTACTGTGTGTTCCTCATGCATCCTCACGACAGCTTCATGTGAACTGTACACCTCGGCACGTGTCTCTTGTCAGTACACCCCAGCTCTCCTTTGTCAGGTCCCTCTGAGAGGTGGGTGCCCATCAGGTGGACGCTGACCAGCCAGTTACTGCTTTGGACTTTTGCTGCTTAAGCAGTTGGCACTATCTGGAGAATGTCCTGTGTATACACATACAGTGTGCCCCAACATTTGTTTAACTGATAAAATGATAGAAGGAATTGTAAGTTTATATAATCATAAGTAGATATCAAACAGTAGTTTCTGTTTGACTTTGGGATATGTTACATTAATTTCTCAACACCAACCGACTTTCCTGTTTTTTCATAAAAATTGATTGGTGTTCTTTGGAGGAACATGACTTAAATGCTTTTATCTTTGGATTCGAGGAAAGCCTTAAAAGGATCCTTTTAGATATTATACAACCAACACGCATATTTGATATTTTGTGCTTTATATTTTTATACTATTTACATTGTATTTTTGTGTGTGTAATATATGACATTAACACCTTAGAAATAAAATGTATTTCACTTTAGGAGCGTGATAGATTTTGTCTGTCTCATACTGTCTTCCTGTAGAGTGTAAGTCATGAGGAAAGAATTTTGTTTGCTTTTCCACTCCACCTTTTCGTCGAGAAACATGCCCAGCATCGGCGAATGCCGAAATGAAAAAGCAGATGCTTTGCACAGGACGGTGGTCACAGTCAACAACCGAGAAGGGCAAATGCTTCTCAACCGAAGGCCTATTGGGGTTTAGTTTTCTGTGTGACTTAGTGAATATTCTGGTTAAATTAAAATCATCATTAACTTTTAGTGACTAAAAAGCTAGATCTTATTTTTGGCTTCTTTTCTTTCTTATTTTTTCAGGAAGAATCCTCAGCACAAGGTAGAATACAAACACAGTACACTTCCAGGTGAGTCGTTTTATTTCAGGAAATTGAAAATGAAACCTTCAAATGAATCACCTATTCAACCTAATTATAGTTTCTAGTGGTTAGGATTTTTTTCCAAAATTTCTTCTGTGCTTTTGTTGAATTGCTCATTTTAGTGATTTTTCTTAGATTAAAAATATAATTTTAATATAGCAAATGTTTTCTACAATCATTGTATAACAATATATATTTGTTCTTTTATCTGTTAGGATTATTTTCTTTTATAAGTACCTGAAAACAAAATTTCAAGTTGGTCTAAATGGTAAAGAGAACTTACTAACAACTGTAATTGAAAAGTCCAAAAACAGGGCTGCATTTAGACATAATTTATGCTTTGGCATATTAATATTGTCAGTAATGTCACCAACGACCCAATTTCCTCCCGTCGTGACATTTTTAGAGGGGTCATTACCCCTCTAAAACTCCAACTATACCTAGGAAAAAATTATAAAATTCACTTTTTTACGGGCTTAGATTGCATTCTTTTGAACCATTCGCTATGGCCACTGGTGAGCTTGTACCAGCCCTGGAATGGGGGTAGAGTCACCTCCTTGAAGAGCCACAGGGACCCCGGTGGAAACTGGAGGTTTGGGGGGTGGAGGGGGAGCGGGAACAGTCACTGGCCAAGCAATCTCGCCTGTTCTTCAGTCTGTTTTACTTCTCTTTCTCCTGCTTTTGAACTCTATTATCTTTTCCCTCTAACAATTTCTGGCTTCTTTGCATCTTCGGAGGCCAGTTCAGCACAGGATATCTCTGCCCACAGGGTGAGAGAATAAAATGCATACTATCCAGGCTCTGCCCGCATGCATGTGTATGTGTATAAACACAACCAGCTTGCAGCTAAGTGATAAAATAATTAAATTCACCATTGGAAACTCCACTGGGTATTTTTAACTGAAACACACTTTCGGACTTTAGTAACCCAGACACCAGTGTGCTCATGTTATCTGAGCTTGCGTGTGTGGAGGCTACATGTTACAGGTTAGGCTTTTTGACCGAGGCTGTATTTAATGAGGTAGCAGTTATGGTTGCTCACTTCCTTCCCAGCACCAGTGTAATAATATTGGTTCAAATACAATTTATTGGTGAGGTTTAGCAGCTCCATGAAAAGAACATTCGGCACACCCATGAGTCTTCACAGGCGTGGGAACCGCTCTCCTAAACACTGTCAATGTGAGCCACGCGGCACAGTTAAAAATACCCAACTCTGTTTGAAAAGTCTCTTCGAGGTATCTTCTGTATGAAGAACATATTTTTACAACAATTTTTAAAGAAAATAATTTTATTTCACTGGAAGGACAGTTGTTTTTTAAGTTTAGGTAGTGTTACGTAGCAGTTTAGCCTTATTTTTTTAATGTACTTTCAAGGGTTGTTATGTGTCAGTATAACTAGAACATCTCTTCCTACTCTAAAACCTATAAATTAAGGCATCTGAAATATTTCAAATATAATTTAAGTCTTAAGAGCTCATATTTTTTAATTAGCAATATCTGACACATACTTATTTTCAAAATCCTTAAAGTCTAACATTACCCAAGATCTTAATCTTACCTATGTACCGGTTCATTTACTCACACACACATTATGTGTCTGACAAGTGAGCAGAGTCACAGAGAGACAGGAAAGCAGGTGGAGCTCCACCTGTCTGGGGTGAGATGCTCTAACAGGGGTGTCCAACCCGTGGCCCGTAGTCCTTATGCAGCCTGGGATGGCTACGAATGCAGCTCAATACAGAATTGTAAATTTACTTCAAACATTAGGAGATTTTTTTTTGTTAGTGTTTGTGTATTTAATGTGTGACCCAAAACAATACTTTTCCTCCAGTGTGTCCCAGAGACGCCAAAAGTTTGGACACCTCTGCCAGGTAAAACCTGGGAGCCAAGAGAAGGAGCCCTTGGTGCCGGGGTCATCGGGGTACACCAGAGGTGGGGGTTTTAAGTTAAGTTGGTCTGTAAGGTGGTAGGAATTCTATCCTCTTTGTGTCGCAGCTTGTGGTAGGTGGGTTGAGGGCATCCCAGACAAAGTGAAGAAATAGCATCAAGGTATAAGATGGTAAGTTGTGTCTAGAGTTAGCAAGTGGATTGGTTTAACTGACATGGAGCCTCTGCAGTCACTGTGGATGATGCTAAAAGGATGTGTGGAGGCCAGATTGTGCAGCAAGAGCTCGCCAAGGCTAGAACACGGTTGTGGATGCACCAGCAAACACTGGTGAACTCATATTTTACCAAAGGGAAGCTGGTGATGGCAAACAGTCTGAGTTAGTGGGGGAGAAGCCTACGGATTTATTAGGTCGTTGAATAAAGGGCCAGAACTAGGCCACCATGAGTGTGCAAAGGTGGGTTTGGATAAAAGTGAGATTTTGAAGCAAGAATCAATAAGATTTGCCAACTGAGGGAATAGGGATGACTCAGGATTATAGTACAAATTGTCAGGAGACTGAGGATGATGTTTACGTGTAAATCAAGATCAGAAGGAACAACTGCGTAGGTTTTTTAAAATTTAAACATTGGAGTGGGGTATCATAACCACATAATGAGACAACATAATTTAATACAATACCATATACCAAGGACTATAGTGTTTCATGGTAGAATAACTACTTTAAACTTTTATTTAATTTCTAATTTGTATCACTCCTAAAATATTTCAGTCCATAAGGTTCTTCCACATAGGTCACAATTTATGCAGTGTGTTCTGTTTCTGTAGGTGGGACTGCGCTCATCCTTTAAGCTTCTTAAAGGATGAAGTAATCAGTGCCAGGAAATTTTTATTTTATATATATATATATATATATATATATATATATATATATATATATATATATATATGCTATCTTACCCATTAATGGCATTTAAAATAAATTATCTCCAGCATTTTATCACCTGATTATTGTAGACATTCTTTCTGGCTCTTATCATGTAATATGCATTATTATTCTACGTGATCAGTAGCATTCATGGTTGAAAATTTGGAATGTTATACTAATCATAATTTTAAAACTTCTCTATTTCTGCAATTGTATGTACACATGTACTTATATATATTTTTTCTTCACCAGTAAAACCCAAAAGATCTAAAAAGAAGGTTCTTAATAAAGGTTAGCGGAACTTAAAATATAATTGTATAAACTGCTATTTAGTGTGGAGAAAACTAAGGCTTTAGAATATGAAATAGTCTAGACAAATAGTATTTTTTAAAAAGAAATAAACTTCATATATAACACAGTAGATCAGAATTACACAAACTGTTTTTTCAAAGCTAAGATATGAGCATCCAGCTAGCAGCTTGGTACATTAGAAAGATGAGTCTTTACCTGTTAAATGAAGCATTTAAAAAGCTGCTTATTCTTGAAGTATGTAGTAAATATGTATCTTTAGAGATATGGTCCTAAATATTTTTTATGTAATGAAAATTAATAGCCTAGTTCGGTGATTTTAACCCTTTTGTCCTCATTGCACACAAACTAATTACTAAAATTCTGTGGCATACCAAAAATATACATATTCTTTGCTGATCTGACAAAAGTAGATACAATTTTGATTTATTCACATTGGATGGCTGTTGTTATGTTGGCTGTTGTCATTTTTTTAATTTGACAATCTAAAGTAAAAGAGGCCAGTGCCCCTAACTAGTCAGTCATTGCATGTTTTAAAATTTTTTGTGGCACACCAGTTGAAAATTGCTGCTCTAGTTAGTCTTAAGATTTACTGGGGGGAAAAAAAGGAAAATAAAACCTGAGGAATTATCAATGTTAAGCAATAAATCTGCCATGAGGCAGCTGTCAACTTGCATACCACATATAAAAAAGTGCATGCATCACACAAGGCCATATTAATTAGAAAAATACCATTTGCTTCTCTAAAAAATTGTTTATATCTATCAAATCATCATTTACACTTGATGTTTACATTTGCACATTCATGTTTTTTTAAAGTCCAATAGATTTCCACAGAACTAGTGCGATGCCATTAAAATAGCCTATATATAACACCTTCTGATATCACAATTAGCTTATTTGAAATACACTGTAGAGTGTGCCTGAGCAATCAGAAGTGAGCTTGTTTTTCCTAAATCAAGGTGACTTGTTCTCCTTGAGTTTATTTTCTTTCTCTTAAATCATGCTATTTAAGTGAAAAGCAAGGACCCACAACCTAGATTACTCTATCCAGCAAAGCTAATTGAAGGGCAGATAAAGTGCTTCCTAGACAAGGTAAAGCTAAAAGACTTCATCATCACCAAGCCCTTATTATATGAGATATTAAAGGGTCTTATTTAAGAAAAAGAAGATCAAAACTGTGAATATTTAAATGACAATAAACTCACAACTCTAAACAGCTGAACCTAAAAAACAAAAACAAACTAAGCAGACAACTAGAATAGGAATAAACCCATAAATATGGAGATCATTTGGAGGGTTAACAGCTGGGATGGGGAACGGGGAAGAAGGGAGAAATGGTGCAGGGATCAAGAAGTATAAATGGTAGGTAAAATAGGGGGATGTTAAGAACAGTATAGGAAATGGCAAAGCCATTGGGCATGAACATGGGCATGAACAAAGGCAGGGATTGTTGGAGGGAATGGGAGTGCCAGGCTGAGGATGTCAAAGGGAGAAAAATTGGGACAACTGTAATAGCATAATCAATAAAACATACTTTAAAAAAGTCAAAAGAGATACATAAAAAAAACACTTTGTTGGGTGAGGGGGATAGACAACCACATAAGAACAATAACCAGCATCAAGAAAATCACAAACGTTCTAGGTGAAGGACAGGAAGCCTCGTGATCATCTGAGGGAAGAGCCTGCCAGGCAGCGGGAATGCGACTTCAAAAGCCCTGGAGGCGATCATGCTTGAACGCTTCAAGGAGCAGCACAGAGAGGGTAGAAATGAAGGAACAGAACAAGGGTGGCAGATGAGATCAGAAAAGCTATCAGTAGGCCAGTTCTGCAGTGTCTTGGAGGCACAGTTCTACAAGTAAGGACTTTTAGATTTTATTCAGAGTGAGATGGAAAGCTATTGGAAGGGCTTTTTTTTTTTTTTTTTTTGCTTCTTTGTAAAGAACGGACAAGAGTGGAAGCAGGGAAACCAGTTAGGAGGGTATTGGAATAGGCCAGGAAGATCATCGCCGCATTGGGACTAAGGTGTTGGAATGGGTGTGCTGAGAAGTAGTGGATGTATTTTGATGGTAGAGCCAACGGGATCTCTTGACATATTGGATGTTGGGTTTCCAGTGGGGGACATTCAAGGATGACCTAGGGTTTCTTGCCTAAACAACTGGAAAGTTGGATAAGTCACATACTAAGACTGGTAAGAGAATGACTACATTTGGGTGAAGCAACTCAAGAGCTGTGTTCTGGAAATGTCAGGTTTCAGATGGCTGTTAGTCATCCAAGAAGCAATAATGTATAGTTAGTCAGATAAATGTGAGTCTGGAATTCAGGTAATAGTCAGGGCTTAAGATTAAATTTGTGAGCTCTGAGCAGCGTGGCTGTCAGTTGGGTGTTGTTCCGTAAAGCGAAGGGTTGCCGGTTCAATTCCCAGTCAGTGCACATGCCTGCACTGCAAGTTCAGTCTCTGGTCAGGGTGCACTGATCAATGTTTCTCTCCCTCTGTTTCTCCTGTTCCCTCTCTCTAAATATAAATAAATAAAGTCTCTTTTAAAATATTAAATTTGTAAATTTAGGATATAAGCCTGGATGGACTCATCTAGCCCAAAATTGGAGTCCTCCAAAATTAGGGTTTGGGAAGATAAGGAAGATCCCAGCAAAGGAGACCGAGAAGAAACACCCAATAAAATGGAAGGACAACCTGAAGTTCTTTCAGCCTAATATATATTTGTCTTGTAAATATGCTAAGAAGTTAAATGAAAGAAAACTTGATTGAGCTGTCATTAGTTATACATACAGACACAGTCATCACAGGAATGGCCCTTTGCCACTGAAAAGATTTCCAGATAAAATCGCCCTACTTGTTTTTTAAATGCTCTTCATCACCCCAATGTCTTTCACTGCCTTATTCTCAACCAGCTCTGTTGCTCACTGTGGAAAGAATATAAAACAGAGAGGAGTGAGGGAAGAAATTTATTTGGAGACAGAAGAATTCTAGTATTGTAATAATAATTAGAAATCTGTAAATTCTAATAGCTGTCTCCATAATAATCTCACTTTTAGGGTGAACTGTAGAATATCATAGATTTATAAACTAAACTTCCAAAGTATATAAACTTATGTCTTCTCATTTGATCACAGTCCTTGTGTGTCAATCAGATTGTGCTAGGTTTGCATGATAATCCCCAAATGTCAGTGTCTTACACAAAAATGTGATGTATTTCTTCTTCATGTCCCATCTGCGTGTTGGCTGTGGCCTTGGTCCAGCTCAGAGTTCAGGTTGAAGGACCAGCCGCTGTCTGGGACACACTGTTCCACAATAGAGAGGAAATAACAATAGCAGAACCCCAGAAATTCTCTGAAAGCTTCTCCTTGGAAGGGCACACACCACTTCCACTCACTTTTTTTTGGCCAAGTCTGGTGTCATTGGGGGTGGAGAACTATAATCATATCACCGGGAGGGGCAGTGAATAACTGGGACAGAAATACATTCTACCATTCCAGAACGCAGGGTAGCCTAGATATGATTACGATATCATGAAGAAACCATTACTATGAACCTCATGAGACATTTTAGTCTCAGGAGCCTACGTTCCCCTCATGGTAGGGGAAGCTAGAAATAATAAATAACATATGGTCTTTTTAGTCCCCTTTCTAGAAGTTTGTAGTGACTTGCTATGTGTTAAGTAAAATTATTTTTCTTGATGGAGAAGGATATTTTACAGTTGGCCATCTCTAATCCCAGGTTGAGTGGCAGTTCATGTTTTGGGTACCAAACTTCTGTTTTCCAGGCAGAAGCATTGCAGAGGAAGATGATGAGCACAGCCTGAACGACAGCTTCATAGATGATGAGGAAGAAGAATATGAGCCAACAGATGAAGACTCTGACTGGGAGCCTGGAAAGGATGAAGAAAAGGAAGATGTGGAAGAGCTTTTGAAAGAAGCAAAAACATTTATGAAAAGAAAAAAGTAACTGTTTTCTGCAATAATACATGGCTCATGTTTACTCTTTCTTTACGGAAAAACATTTAAGAACTAAGGAGGCACTTCAGCAATAATTGTTTTCCTTTCGATAGTTAAGACCTTTCTATTGGCCCATTGCAAATGAAACACTGAAATGTCAGCCCTCGGTGTAGTGCGTGGAATGTGTGTTGCCACCTGGCTTTTTCTATCCTATTTAAAGCATCTAGAAATGGAAAGTAGTCAGAGTTAAAGAGAAGTCATTGGTATTTTTCACGTACTTTGTCTGTTGGTTATAAAAAGCCATAGGTCGCACAAAACTTTGGTCTTTTCTTTTTCTGCTTTCCAAAAATTCTGTCTTTATTGAAAACTATGCAAGTATAAGCAGGCAGATTACCTCATGGGTGGAAAAGCAGGCCTCTTTTCAGTGCTATTGCAGTAATTCTTCAAGCAGAACCAGGCCTTAAAAGATGACAGCCATCATATAATAGCTCTTATTTTTCTAGTATCCTAGATACAAGCTTTGCATTTCATTTAATACTTTTACTCTTTGAAACCTGGGGAAATCGGTACCAAATGGGTACCAAAAATAGATTCAATAAGACTATAGAAGAGAAATGTTTCCCACAGAGGGAATGATATTCTGTGCCCCACAAAACAAATCTGACCAGTGTGGAATTTTAAACTATTTTGAACAGATTAAAAGCATCCTTCTAAACAGAAGAAAAAGGTTGAAATTGTAAACTGTATAGACATAAGGAACAGTGAGAGTATTATGTTACAAACCAAGTAAGACGTACTTGAAGGAGGATAATACTATATAGTCTTAAATGTATTGTATAGATTAGGAAAAAGACTACAGATAAATGAACTAAGTATTTAACTCAAGAAGCTAGACAAAAACATCAAAACGCACCCAAGAGAAACAGGAAAGAACAAAATTTTGAAATAAAATATTTTTAAAAGCAGTAGACCTGATCAAGACAAAAATAGATTATTTTACATCATTGACAGAATAAATACTTTTTAAAAAGACATATTAGAAATGAAAAAGATTAGAACTATAAATCCAGTGTAAGGGGATATGTACAACTTCATGTCAATGATTTTGTAAATCTAGATAAATGTATGACTTCCCATAAAAATATAATTTACCAAAATGTACTTTAAAATATGTTTTTAAAGTCTGCATAGATCAATAACTATAGAGGAAATGGAATGTATTCAAAATCTGCTCTCACTAGGTACTAGACGCTGAGTATTACACGTGATACATTAAAAATTTAAAAGTTGTGAGAGACTTGCATAAATGGAGATGCGCAGTGTATTTCTAGGTAGAACAATGCAGTGCTGAAGTACATGTTAACTGGCTTGACTGCAGTGATCACTTCACAATGTGTACATATCAAATTTTCACATTATGTACCCTAAATATGTATAATTTTATTTATAAATTACGATATAGTAAAAAAAGAAAGATAAATTCTCCTTAGATTAATCTATAAATTCAGTGCAATCTCAATTAAAATCTCAGATAGATTCATTATAGTTTTACAATCTAAAGTTTTTACAAGTTTTCAATTCTAAAATGAACTTTAAAGAAAAAAATGTACTAGACAAATAAATAACTTTTGAACAAAAACAATGGGGACACTTTACTACTCATCAAAATGTGTATATCAAAAAAACAAAGCTTCACATACTCTTTTAAAAACATTATGGCAACAATGCAGGAAAAGACAAATAAACAAATAAAACAAAACAGGGACTGAAGACACAGGTGCAGTTATATATGTAAATTTAATTTAAAAGTATGATTTTAAACCCACTGGGACAAGTGGAAGAAATTATACTTGTCTCAGATTCTGAAAAATAAAATTCAAAAAAATTAAAGAAGATCCCTGGGGGAAGATAGAATACGGGACAGGAACCTAAAGCACTTCCCTCCAGGCAAAACCTGCACCTCACAGTCTAAAATGTGACCAAAGAAAGGCCACATTTTACTCATTCAAATGAGAAGCTTGTTTTAATAGGGTGACAGCACAGTGTGAAAATATTTGCAGCACATGTGATGTGTGCACAGAGAAAACTCCTACAAACGACATTAAAAAAATGTGCGAGAGGTATAAACAGGCAATTCCCAGAAGACACAGGTCGCCAGTGTATATGTGAAAACCCTCAACCTTGATTGTGCACAGGTACAAATTAAAATGATGGTGTAGTTCTCGATTGTCAAGTTTTGAAATCTAAAATATTGAACACTTTCAGTGATAACAAAGAAGGGCTCACTGATCAAGACTTTCTGGAAGACAATTGAGCCATAACTGTATTTAACGTGCATGCCCTTTGACCCAGCTCTTATCGTTTTAGGAAACCATCTCATAGAAACATTTGTATCTGAGTGTGAAGATAAATATACTAAGAAGTCCACTGTAGCTCTCTCTGCAATTAGAAAAGAAAAACAAAAGTGAAGGACCCACATTTCCAGCAATAGAGACATGGTTAAGTAGTTATGTGTCAGCCAAATTATGGAATATTATGCAGCCATTAAAAAGAATGAAGTTGACTTATGTAGTGATATGGGAAGCTCTCCAAGAAATGCTATTTTAAAAAAGGAACTCATTGAATAATAAACTCAGTATGATGGTGCTTATGCTAACAAGGAGTACCTGTATATATTTAATATGAATAGAAAAAGACCAGGATACAGATAACTTCACAGTACAATACTTACCTAGGAGAATAGAAATGGGTATGGGAAGGAGAGGGAATAAAGGATGGAAGGGTGGACTGTCAAATTTAATCCACATACTAATGTATTACAATAAGAATGTATTCAAGAAAACCATTTAACTGGTAAAAACGTAGGAGATTGTATGGATTCAAGGCATACCACATGACATGGGTGTGAAGCAGTGAATTCCCTAGTCCAAATCTGATGGAGTGAACACTTTTAGAAAACAGAGTAAAAGCTGAACTTCCCCAGTTTTCTCCAAATGTCAAGAACTTACCAAGATAACCTTGTAAGGCCTGTTGGGTGAGGACTTCAGGGAAGTGGGAGGTGGAGGATCATTATAAGGAAAGACAAGATGAACCAGCTAAAACTGCATCTTCACTGTTTACCCCAAAGGAATCTTCTCGACTTCTCCTGGGTCCCTGGACTTCTCCAGGGTCAGCCTCTGTCGTGAACCCTGAGTGCTCTGGGTTCCTCTGGAGGTCTTGGTGCTTGGACCCCTCCACTGTCAGCATCGCTAGGTCAGCAGGTGAACACCCAGTCATCACTATTCTATGTACAATATTACAGCAGGACAGGGCGAGAAGCCAGGAGGCTTTCACCTCGTGGTGCTGCCCCGTGGATGCAGAAATGCAGGCTGAAGAGCAAGAGCTAATGATGACTCTGAACAATCCCTGCCCCAGTCAGTGCTCAAGTGGGAAGGCCAGAATATTCAATGCTATGTAACTTATAGAAGTATAGCATTAAAATGCATCCCTTTTGTGTTGAAAGAGAGATTTTACTGTTCCAAGCTGAGATTAAGCAAACTGTGTGCCCAGCACTCTGGTCCAGCATGACATGCTAGGGAAAACACCTGCCTTGGACAGTGTTGATGACTAAGTGCAGGTGTGTCTGATCAATAGCCACAGAGCAATCTGCAGCTGTTTTCTGCTTAAGTGTAGCCTGTGTTATTTCTAATTTGTGGTTGACATCTCAAGATGGCACCAGTCATCCACCCGTGCTTACATAACCACCGTGCCACCTGAAAAAGAGATGGCCCTTCTGAGATTTAGCAGATTTACTGGTGTGTGAAATAAACAAGTGTCTGCAATTAGCAGTCTGGATAGTTATGTAAACATTCCCTAGTCAAGGACCAGTGTTTGTTCTCCCCTGTAGGGTAAGTGGAGGCAGTCTGACTTCCTCACCCAGGTGCCTGGGTAACGAAGGGGAGCAGTGTTCCCACAGCCTCGGAGGGGCCTGATAACCAGTGTTCTCACAGCCTTGACCCTGGGTCCAATAAACTCTTCCCATAACATAGAGTGGGTTCACATGTGCAGAATTATGTAATGTTCTGGCATTTTTCCAGCTTTGTTCCCCTCTGTACTTAAACAAGTAGGGGCTTCTGACTAGGGAGACATGCAAAGACACGCAAGGGAACAGGTGCCACGCCAGGGAGCAAGGGCTGACATATGTCATGCAGACAGACATGCAGCCTGCAGCATGTGTGGCTTGCCCACCCATGAATAAAGGCATGCCAGACATCCCAAAGGCTCTGTGAGTATTTTCCATCTGCCTGAATACCATGAACCTGCCCGGCCTTGGAGGGTCACAACACATTCCTAACCTTTGTTTTTCAAACTGGCACCTTGCTATCATCCCCCAAACCAGTAAAAGTGATAGCACTTCACCTAAGACCTGTCATTTTAACAAAACAGGGATATCATTCCTGTCTGAACAATAGCACGAAGTTGATGAAATTCCTGCAGCTCCACTCAACACACCACTATGCCACTGACGGCCACCCCCAGTTCATCTTAAAGAACTTTCCAGGTTTCCCTGGTGGAAGCTGCCCATGCACGATGAGACCATTCTCGGGAGTGGACCTCTGGGTCCAGGCCCTGGCTCCATGATCCTACCTCTCTGACCTCATCGGGGTGAGCCTGGCCCCTATCTGTTCAGCATGGGGACCCACAGGAGTGGCCGCATGGGGGCAGTGGACACCGGCACTCTGGAGGCCAGCCGCCCAAACCTCCACTGCTGACGTTTCAGATACGTCATGACTGGTCAGCCTCCCCTTTCACCAAACTACCCCACGATCTGCTTTTATTGCCCTTGAGCTAGTCAAGGTCGATTATTACATCCAGCAAAAAGAAACAAATAAATTATTACACTACACTGTAAATTATGATTGGGCTATATAATCAAATACTATGGTTTTCATTTTAATTAAGGAAAGGTTAGTTGCTCACTGCTATGATCTTTATTTTTCTCTTCTCTCCAAAAGTCAATAATTAAGGAGTCGGACTGAAATAGAAATGTGGAAAAGTTAGTGTTTACCTTTTTAAGATACAACGTGGCAACATGGATTTCTGGCATGTTGGCAAGTAATGAGCCTGCAAGTTGACTCAGTTTTATGGGGGCTGTTTCAGTGCTTCCTGAGCTCAGACGTGTGCAGGGACTTCTTAAAGGAAAAAAGGCCCAGCAGCTCTTTACATCCCAGTGTGCGGAGGAGTGCTGCTCCAGCATCTACGTAGTTTTTAGGGATTTAAGTTCTAGCTTTAAGCAGTTGGGAATGGAAAAAAATAGTGACCCTAACTTATCATAAAACAGTAAATAAACATCTACGAGTGCGTAGATATGACTAGTAGCAGTAGATACTACTACTACTAATATTTAAAGCAAAAGTAAGAAAAAAACCCCTCATTTTTGCCAGCTCCTTACTCTGGAAATTTTAAAGGAACATATATCCTGCCTTTGGGGAGGAACTGGATCTCATCCTCAGTAGTGAGGGAAATGTGTTCGCCACAGAGCGCCAGCTCGTACATGGAGAAGGAAAGAGAGTGAGGAAAACAGCATTTTCTAACCCCTCAGAGTCATAGTTTATTCAGACAAGGATCATCAACAGACTGTAAAATAACATCCCACAGATAACTTGCAAGTGAGAAAACATAAGTTTACGTTGGAGACACCAGGGTCACCTCTCAAGAGTGGAATGGCCTGACTTTGTGTTTCTCCAAAGGCAATGAATGTTCTTGCCAGAAGTGTTTTACTGAATTGAATCAAGCCTTTGAATCTAACTCTCAGAAAAGAAGAAATACAGCAGACAGGGGCACATGGCAAGCGATACCACAATGAAATAATCAGATAAATACAAGATGTGAGCCATTCTGCCTGGTCTCCTGAAAAAAGACAATGTTCTAAAAAGATAAGTGGGGGGCCCTCTAGACTTAAAGAGAATGAAAATTTGTCACTGCCACATACAGTGTATGAGTCTTAATTTGATCCTCGTTTGGGGAAAAACAGCTATAAAAATACTTTTAGGATTGTGGGAGAAATTGAATATGAACTGAATATTAGATGATGTTAGGAAATTATTGTTAACTTCTTGGGCTATGATAAAAGTATATTGATTCTTAGGGAGAATGTTCTTATTTGTAGGAGATACAAGCTGAACTGTTTCTGGCTGAAGTAGAATATTTTTGTATCTTCCTTTCATTTAGTTCCATGTATGCACACATACACAGATAATGCAAATATGGCAAAAATATTAATTAATGTTTACCTTAGTTGGTGAGTACCCAAATATTCATTATACTATTATTTTAACTATTTTCTGTGTTTGAAAACAATTTTAGCCCAGCTGGTGTAGCTCAGTGGATTGAGCGCGGGCTTGAGAACCAGAGTATTGCAGTTCAATTCCCAGTCAGGGCACATGCCTGGGTTGCAGGCCAGTTCCCAGCAGGGGACACACAAGAGGCAACCATACATTGACGTTTCTC